AAGAATCAAATCCATTTTTCCAATAAATCAAATCCATTTTCCAATATTGCTGTCAGTGGAATCATATAAGCAACAATTTTCCACAAATGCCATTGTAAGGATACTTCAAATAAATAAAATTAAACAATTTTCTTTTATTTTAAAACTTTGCGTAAAAACTTATCCTTACAATCCACATGGAAAATTGTTGTTATCTATTCCTTAGCAATATATCATAACTTCTTAAGCAACTGCTCAAAATTCTGATGCGATCGAAATCCACCTTCGCGATCAGAATCAGCATATACTTCCTTTAAGATTTCTCTCTATTCTTTGATTCTTAAAAAATCAACATGTGACCCAGTCACATCATGTAATGAGGATCTCAGAATAGAACTTAACAGAGTTAGATAATGGGCTCTACCTGATGTAGAGTCAAACTTATTGACTTTAACATCCTTAGGTAAATTTGGCAACTTTGCAATCAACGCCCCTTCCTTTGGCAAAATAAACATATGGACCCTTTGGTAATGGGACTATCTCAGACTTACCCTTTCTCTTTACCATTTGGTCAACCGGGTTGACTATGGCCAATCCCTTTCCATTGGGAAGAGAATGCTTTTTCTGGATTTCCAGTGTCACCATTGTCACTGTCCATAAAGTTTTTGGGAAGTTGATCTTCTAATCAAATTTGCTTTACTATCGTTCCAAATCATTGTTGATTCAGCAGCACCAAGCAAATAGACATGATCATTAAGGTTCATGTCATAGTCTGTTTCATAGTAGTCCCAAAGGAACTCACTATGTGACTTAGAAAGTGATTGAACATCCAACTTTCTCAAGACTTTGACACCCAACTCTCCCGGCTTGTCAATATGTGACTTCATCTCTAAGATGTGATCACACATAGACCTTGCTTGCCATTAGGGCTTGAGTGACCTTGAACTTGTGGGTTAGGGAGAATAATTGGAGGAGGTGGAGGAAGAGAAGTATGACTTCCATGAGCCAAACTCGGGAAGTCATATTCATTAGGAAAGCTTGGTTTGGGAAGATCATTATTGTCTAAACAAGACATCAACAATGGGAGAAATTCACATAAAGTTGATTTAAGTCCTTAATATAACACCCAATATGATATATTAAGGCTAGGACCCAACAAACTATTTTATAACTTGGAAGAGGGATGCCGTAATCCAAGCTATAAAATATTTGAAGGTAGGTGAATGACGATTCACCAATTTCCACCAAGATAAACGAAATGTATTATTAAGTTTTAATTGGTTTTGAAACTCCTAGATTCTTTTGAGATTCATTGAACTTTTCAATGGCATGTTTCAATTTCGAGTGTGCCCTTCAGGTTTTGTGACTGGGATGCCGAGGATCACAAAACAAGGTGTGAAGTAACCATGCAAATATACTTGGTACCCTTAATATTTACCCCTCAATCGATGTGCCGGTTAACCACACACGCTCCAACGATACTATGATAAACATTAAGTTACCCTTTGCCTACCTTGTTAAGTCCAGGTTATTGTGCCGGTTAACCACACACGCTCCACTAACAGCTTAAACAAAGTGCAAAGTGTAATTTCATGGATTAGCACCTTATTCACATTTTCCTAAGTAACTAAGATTGGGAATTTATAAGTGTTTGGTTACTTAGTATTTATCATTATACTTATAATAAAGGGAGAATTATAGTCCTTGTCCTACCTGTTCGGCTAACGACCCTCCACCGGTCAAGGAAGCGGCGAGTGAGAGTGGACACCCATTAAACTGCCATTTTATAGGCAGTAACCTTATACCCCCCTTATAGACCGGCTTCGTGAATGAGGCCTACTAATGGTAAGACGACTTGCTCTTATACATATAATATATTAAACTTTTAATATTATAATAGTATAAGGGTGTATTTTAGACATTTAAAATACTTGATGGTTTAATCTATTAATTAACCTAGACTTTTAATTTAATTAAACTCAAACCATATATTTATGGATTTAATAATACTCTTTTAATTAAACGCTTTAATTTAACTATTAATAAAGTCCATAAGAGTTAATTGGAACTATTCAACAAAACATCATAATTCCAATTATTAAACTCAAAATTAAAACCATTTAATTAATTGTTTAAGTTATGAACCCAAGAGTTTTAGAATTCAATTCTTTTTTTCATAAAAACTTTTCTCAAATTCCAAAACTTGAGGGCAAGTTTTGTAATTCTTGAAAACCTTTGGATTCCATAACTTATGGAATTAATGGTGTTTTATAATGAAACTTTCCTTGTTCCATAACTTAAGAACAAGTTATGGAATTCTTTAAAACATTAACACCAAATTTTGTAACTCCATAAAAACTTTGAATCAATTTTTTTTTTAAAAAAAACTTTCATATCCATAACTTATGGAAGTTTCAAAAACCCTTAAGATCACAACTTTAAAAAAAAAAACTTTTGAGCTCCAAAATTTTATGACAAAATTTGTAACTCCTTAAAACATTTAGATTAAACTTTTAAAACTAATAAAATAATCATATCATTTTATCTTTTACTAAATTTGACCTAATTCAACTCATATAACAAATGATTTAAATTTTACATATAATTCGTTTTTCACAAAACAAGTAATTATCTTAAAATTTGACAAACGTTATGTTTTTTTTTCCCTTTTTTTCCAACTTGAAAATAAAACATTTGCATCAATATAACAGAAAACAACCCATGGCTCTGATACCACTGTTGGGTTTTGAGCATTCTAACACTCCTATGGTGTACATGCAACCCTATAAACCTTGGATCTATGTTTTCTCTATTATACATGCAAATATTAACTATTCCAAGGTTTTCATCTAACTAGCATATTATGAAGCACCTATACTACAAAGTTCTAGTTAAATGACATACCTTTTGATGCAGCTTGATGTCTTCAAGCTTTAAGAGCTTAGCCCCAATAGTGTGGAAGCCTCAAATGGAATCACAAATCACCAAAACACCTTGGAAGAACTTGAGAGAATATGTATGCACACTAAAATCGGCCCACTCTTATTTTCACACACTTGTGCCAATTTTGTGAGCCAAGGACCCCTTTATATATTATGGAGGATTAGGGTTACATCCATGTAAACCCTAATACCCATGACCTTTCATTTACATAGGATCCATGGGTTAAAAGCTCCATGGACCATCCATGAAAGCTTAGCCCAACCTAAATGAACTTGGCCCATTCCATATATATAAGAGTCCATATTTAATTAGTTCTTTTTGATCACTTAATTAATTCAAAATTAATTCTTGATCAATACTAATTAAATAATATGATTCCATATTAATATATTAGAACTTATAATATATTAATATAAATCATAAATATACTATTCTCAAAAGACTATCCATATAAATTGTGCCGGTGAAGTGCAACCCAAATGGACCATGCCGGGTCGGGTCAAGTACATACCAAATATAGTTATGGACTTAGACATTAATCCAACAGTATTTACTTTGAGCACTATTATACTTGTTGTTGTGATACTATACATGAAGTCCTCCACCCCGGACGTTTCCGCCATCCTTGGTTTGGGGGTGTGACATCGGGAACACCCCTAACACCCGAAGAAAGCCCGGAGCCCTGAAGTTCTCGAGAAAATAATATTTTTAAGTCGAAACTCTGCCCGCATAAAGCCCGGTTTTTATCAGAAACTCACGGTTTTGTCAAGGAAAATCATTTCTAGAAACGAAACGCTGCCCAAATCACCACTTATCAAGTGAGTTCATACCCCTACACTTTTCCAAAATTTTCTATGTTTTTAGGGTGGGAATACAAGTAAAAACACAAGTAATATTGTGTTTAAAATACAAATCGTTTATATCGCTCTTTTATATATATTATAAATATTGTACGCAAAAATACTAACTAAACGTTTTTGTTACCAAACTTATAAACTCTCCAGGTTGTTAAAATAAAAAAAGGCTCATATTACGTAAATTACACACATATAAACTATAATGGGTATAGTTTATGGAACTTATGAACTATTTTATTAAGTAAAGAAAACGATATGAAAACACACATATAAATTATAATAAGTATAATTTACGGGTCAATTCTCAATATCAATTATCTTAAACTTGTATATGGAAAAAAAGTTCATCATTTGTTGTTAAATGGCTTTTTCCATTATATTACTCGTAATCTCGTTGAAACATTAAATTTGTGAGTCGCTTCGTGGTGTACATATCTAAGTACGACCGTAAGTCCTGACTTATTAACCAAAATCTCTTGGAGGGAGAGCGTGAATTTGTGTATAGATCTATACGGGACTGACAATCCCCGCACCCTGGCTATTAGCTACAGCACGAACCAGGTTATGGGTGACAAATGTCATATCATTCTGACGCCTGAAGAACGTCGCGGCGTGCTTATCAGTCATATAGTATGGTTATAAGAACTCACATGGAGAAAACACCGATTATTTTACGTAGTAATATACTTTTTATAAAATAGTAAATCAAGGTATTTAAATCATATCTATTTTACAAGCCAAATATATCTTCAGTTAGTTTTACCTATGAGTAAAACTACATATCATGAAATTAATTATAGCAATTATACCTATACGTTTTTGATTTTGGAATGTTTAAAACCACAAATCGGTATTATGGAAAATATAAAATTTTGTAAATTAACCAATACAAACAATATAAGTACAAAATAGAAGACCGAAACATTTACAAAAATTTGATCTTTTAAATAACAAGCTATTAAAAACATTTCCCACTTTTAAATAACACAACAGCAAGAGCCAACAACAAAGTACAAACTATAAAATAACAACATAAGACTGAAATTGTAATTCATAAAAGAAAGAACGACAATAAAAACAGCGATAGTAACAGCAAAAACAGCAACAAAAAAATAGCAACAACACAAATCAACAACAGCATCAGAGCACAAAACAACAAAAATAGCAACATCAAAAAACAGCAACAGCAACAATCAGCTACTTGGAGAAAAACATATGTGTGCCCCTCCAACATGGTTGCTAGAGTAGATGCAGATGCAATACGCCAATACAGTGTCTGAAATCCATACATATTAAAGGCATCCCATGATAACAACAATATGAATGGATAAAATCAACTTTAATACCTTAAGATATGGATCATATAGCAAGAATGTCATCAGGTTTGCTTCATACCTCATGTCAATCATATTACACATTTACACTAGGATGATAAAAAAATAACAAATTAATACAATAAAACAACAGAGAAAGCACTTTCTTTTACCTTGTTTGAAGCACATCACTTGAGGGCAAAAGTATTGTACATTGGGTAAATGGTAAAAAGTCTTAATGCAACTACAAAACCAGCAACATGTAAGAATACATATACTGGTAACTGGTTAAAAGAATATCTTCAATAACAAAATTAAGTCCAAGAATGAGAAAAAGTTACATGGTCTTGAAGGGATCCTTTTGTATTCACTAGAACCAAGTGCAGGCAATGAAGGAGTGAGGTATAAAATCTTCAGAATAGTTGCAACATTCACTTACTGATCAAATTCAATACGATTGTTTAGATAATAAGTTACCTGAGTGAGAAGCAAAAGAAGACTACCCTATCCATCGCATTGCCTTCCATGAGTGGACCTTTACTTGCCAATACATCCAGAGTATTTCTGAAAGCCTAATACAGTAGACAAATAAATTTTAACCAAACAATATAAAAAAAATGAAAACTTGTTAAACTTGCAACAAAAAATGCTCACATCAACTTACTTCTATGATTTGTAAGTTGCCTACATAAGTTACCTGCATAGTGTATGTTTCATCAATCTCTTTAACATATACTTACTTCTATAACACATAGAAACACCAAATCATAGGACTATAAGAGGGAACCAAATCAAAGGACTATCAGAGGGAAACACCAAATCAACACACCTGAAGAAGAGAAATAGAACGCTCAGCAAGCTCGATTTCATTACACAAACTCGATACGAACCTCAGATTGAAAGATTTCTTGGCAACAGAGAAATCGAAACAAGAAGATATAAGAGGTCTGATTTGGGGGAATCAATAATCAATGCGAGATTAGGGTGATTTGTTGGAGATCAATTATTGGGTTCATAGGTGTGATGTAAATGATCCGATCGATTGCAATCTACTGAACATATTTGAGTGTCGATTGAAGCTTCGATTCAAAAGAACCATGACTGGAGCGATTGAAGTTTCGATTAACTTAACGATGACTAGTGTGAGAGGGGAGAGAGAGGAGAGTGACGAGAAGAAGACCATGTTTTTTTAAGACTGAAAACCAAAAACCCTAAAAACGAGTTTGGTTAGTATAAGTTCTTTTTCCCTATTTTAAAAACAAAATTACAAAAAATATAAAAGTTTATATAGTTTTTTTAGAAAAAGGCGGGTACCCGTCGGTACCGGTTCCGGTTAACCGCCGGTTCCGGGTACCCGGTATTGGTACCGGAACCGGCGGGTATCCAGCGGGTATCGGTTTCGTAAAAATTAGAATTGGAACCGGAACCGCTTAAGGCGGTTCCTAGACTTTAGGAACCGGAACCGGAACCGCCTAAGGCAGTTCCAGTTCCAGAACCGGCAGCTCCGAGGCGGTTCCGGTTCCAAAAGCAGGTACCCGCTTCCGCTGCTCATCCCTAATAAAAACACTCTGACCAAGAGTTATACTTTTATGAAAGTATACATATATATACATATACTAGAACAAGTATCACAAGAAGAACAAAACAAAAGTATTTAGATGTTCGACACTACAGTCAAACCTAGACAGTTATGTAATCATATATGGGATAAATATAGCCTGATCAACTATATTTATTTAAGATACGACCAACATTTGTTTGGGAATGATGGTAGTGTTGCAGCGAGCCTAAAAATTATCAAAACCCTATATACAAAGGATATCTAGAACAAAGATAGAGTTAAAATACTATAGGAGTAGTTTATAATACTATACAATAACAACAAGTCTAAAAGTTTACTGAGGTCTTATACCAAGAAACTCTAGAATCAAACATGCAACTAAAATACTATAGGAATATTTTAGGTACTATAAATAACCTATGTGAAAACTAAAAGACCCTTACTGGTAGATCTATAATTACTGAGTGTATACATTAATGTTATATATAATTGAGATTTTATAGACATAGAATATGTGATCTTCGCTCTACTTCCTGTTCCTTGTTTGGTTGTGGACTTAGAGTATGATCACTTATTCGAAGGTCTATTTGATCTTGGTTATATATAATCTGTATACACTATGGTGATTATAGAAGGACCCGGTAAGGATCACCCTGTCACACCCCGAAACCGTGATGGCAGAATAGTTCCGGGGTGGAGGACGTCATGTGTTGTACCACAACATTTGAATAGCAAGCATAGTAAACACAACCAAACATTGAATACAATCATTAAAAGTGTTTACATCGGGTTTGAAACTTGTCCTAAATACATCTAAAGTATGTAAAATATAGAAAAACATGACTCTTATTGCTCCGGCTCCTCTAATCTAAGAAGTACCTGTCTACTGATTCCATGAGAATACAAGCAGTTTTGAAAGTATATCAGCATAAAGCTGGTGAGTTCATAAGCATTTAGTTTTGGTGGAAAAATGTTTCTTGAATCCTTTTGAAAAGTGTTCCTCAAGAAAATCCTATATTTTCTTATGAAAAGCGTGTTTGAAAACCCATTCATTCCATGACTTCCAGGTTCGTACAGAACATGTACAATCCAATGAATCGTGGAAGGAATATGAATATCCGTTGGTTGTAAAACAATCCGTTTTGAATAGCCGGTTTATCCCGGGAAAATCCTATATTTTCCTTGAAGGTTGAAGGTTGATTATCCGTTTTAAACTGAGGTTTGCAAGTATCTACCATACTCGTGTATATAAAAGCAGTTTTCTTTTAAAAACCCTCGTTACACCCAGAGAAGTATATTAGTCTTAAGAACTAAATATAAGAAAACCGTGATGAACTAAGTCCTGAAGATATTATTATTAATACCCTCCAGTAATTAAATCGGTTATTACTTTGAGGTTAGTTCACTTGATTCATTATTACAAAAGTAAATATCTGTTATCTAGGTTTTGAGTTTTATAACCATAACTGACTGGATATAGCCGGCAACGGCCTGTATCCTTAATGACTTTGTCACCCGTAGACCTGCCGGTCCGGCTGTAGCTAGCAGCGAGGTGTGGGGTTGTCAGTCCCGTATAGATCTATACACAACAATCACGCTCTCCCTACAAGAGATTCTGGTCACAAGTGCTAGTCCTACACTCTGTTTCTTGTGGTGAGTGTTACCACGATGCGCCGAAGTCGATGACGCAGGCTCTCAACATATCCTCCAATGTCTGAATTGTTCTCTCACTCTGTCCATCAGTCTGCGGATGATAAGTCGTGCTCATATCCAATTTAGTTCCAAGAGCCTTCTGTAGTGATTGCAAGAATCTCGAGGTAAACCTGCTATCTCGGTCGGAGATAATGGATACAGGTACCCCATGAAGGCGAACTATCTCTTGAATGTAGATCCATGTGAGTCTCTCCATTTTGAAGTTTTCCTTGATTGGCAGGAAGTGGGCGAATTTAGTCAACCGATCGACAATCATCTAGATGGCGGCGTGCCCGCTCGGAGATCTGGGTAATTTGGTGATAAAATCCATGGTTATCCTTTCCCACTTCCACTCAGGTATCTCTGGCTGTTGAAGTAAACCTGAGGGCTTTTGATATTCCACCTTTACCTTGGCGCAAGTCAAGCACTTGCCTACGAAGGTTGCAATTTCCGCTTTCATGTTTGGCCACCAATAGAGTTGTTTGAGATCCAGATACATCTTATCTAAACCTGGGTGAACGGAGTATTTCGTCTTGTGAGCCTCATTCATGACAACCTCTCTGTACCCGCCGAACTTTGGAGTCCACATCTTATCTGAATACTCCTTTCGGCTGAGGGCATCTGCTACCACATTGGCCTTGCCAGGATGGTAATGAATTTCGCACTCGTAGTCACTGAGTAGTTCTACCCATCGTCACTGTCTCATGTTTAACTCCTTCTGATTAAAGATATGCTGCAGGCTCTTATGGTCGGTGAAGATAGTGTACTTGGTTCCGTAGAGATAATGTCTGCAGATCTTTAATGCAAAGACCACTGCTCCCAACTATAAATCGTGAGTTGTATAATTGACTTCGTGTGTTTTTAACTGCCTCGAGGCATAGGCGATGGCCTTTCCTCGTTGCATGAGTACACAGCCTAGGCCCTGATTGGATGCATCACAATAGACCATGAAGTCTTCCGTCCCTTCGGGCAGGGACAAGATAGATGCGCTGCATAGGGCCTGCTTCAATGTTTGGAACGCAGTGTCTTGCTTTTCACTCCAACAAAAGGGTACGCCTTTCTGAGTCAGAGTGGTTAAGGGTTTGGCAATTCTGGAGAAATTTTGAATAAATCTGTGATAATAGCGAGCGAGGCCCAAAAATTGACGAATTTCTGTGGGTATCTTCGGTGCTGACCAGTTCTCTATCGCTTTGATTTTGGAGGGGTCCACATGTATGTCTTCCTCGCTTACCACGTGACCTAGGAAGGTTACTTTTCGAATCCAGAATTCGCACTTGGAGAATTTCGCGTACAGCTTCTCTGTCCTTAAGGTTTCCAGCACCGATCTCAAGTGTTGTCTATGATCTTCCTCACTTCTGGAATAGACAAGTATATCGTCGATGAACACGATTACAAACTTGTCCAGGAAAGAACGGCACACCCGATTCATCAGGTCCATGAATACTGCCGGTGTGTTGGTTAGACCGAAGGGCATCACTACAAATTCGTAGTGACCATACCGAGTCCGAAATGATGTCTTAGGAACATCACTCTCATGGACTCGCAGATGATGGTACCCTGATCTTAGGTCTATTTTGGAAAAGTAACTGGCTCCTTGAAGTTGATCGAAGAGGTCATCGATTCGAGGAAGAGGGTAACGGTTTTTTATTGTGAGCTTGTTCAGCTCTCGATAGTCAATGCACATCCGAAAAGATCCATCTTTCTTTTTCACAAATAAGATCGGGGCTCCCCAGGGTGAGGAACTCGGTTTGATGAATCCTTTGCTGAGCAGCTCATTGAGCTGACTAGATAGCTCCTGCATTTCTGCTGGTGCTAGGCGATATGGAGATTTAGCTACGGGAGTAGCTCCGGGGACTAAGTCGATACGAAACTCGACTTGGCGTTCAGGAGGGATTCCCGGAAGATATTCGGGAAAAACATCGGGAAAGTTACAGACTTCGGGGATGCTCTCGAGGTCTTTAACTTCCCGCTTCTCGTTAATGACGTGGGCTAGGAATGCATAACACTCCTTCCGCAGGAGTTTCTGGGCTTTGATGCATGAAATGATGCGAAGGTTTGAACTGAGTTTATCGCCGTAGATTACTAGAGTTTCATCCGGGGAAAGATTGAGAAGGATAGCTTTTTCGTAACAAAGAATATCAACATGATTGGGGCTCAACCAATCCATGCCGATGATGACATCGAAGCTCTTTATGGAAACTGGCATAAGGTCGATAGGAAAGGAATGATTGCCTAAGGTAAGAGTACACCCTATGAATATGTCGTTCGCGCTTTCTTTCTCTCCGTTAGCCATCTCGACGGTGAACGTTTCGGTTAAAGGTTGGGATTTACGTTTGATTAGATGTTTGAATGCATGACTGACAAAACTCCTCTCCGCACCAGGATCGAAAACAATGCATGCATGAGCGTTGTCAAGGAGGAACGTACCCGTAACAACGGTAGGATCAGCGACCGCTTACTCCTGGCCCATTGTCAGCACCCTTCCTGCATTGCCACCTGTTGTTGCCTTGGGACAATCTCTCTTGAAGTGCCCAACCTCTCCACAGCCATAACAGGCTTGGCCAGCACCCGCCCCAGGAGCCTGATTGGTTGGTTGGACTGGTCCTTTGCAAAATCGAGTTGTGTGTCCCTTCTTGCCACAGCTGGTGCACGACATCTCCCGGCACTGTCCCTGATGATGGTAGTTGCACTTGTTTCACAGAGGTAGTTTTCCAGCATAGCGACTGGGGTATGTTGGAGTAACGGGGACTGCAGCAGGAGTAGTAGCAGTGTGGACTGCCACTATTTGTTGTTTCTTGGAGGGCTCTTGAGAGGACTGACCCTTGCGCTTGTTTCGAAATTTCTTCTTCCCACTACTCTCATTCTGTGGTGCAGGAGCAGCTGTCACCTCGTTAAGATCGACTCCATGATCAATCAGAGTCTAAGCCAGATCCTTGGCGCT